GGGAAAGTTTTGAGTTTAGACGACCCTGACCAGCCTATGTCCTTCCAGCGCCCCACACCATTCACCCTGCAGAGTTGGACGAGGCTAGCCCCCTAGAATCTGGCCTCCAACCTTCGACTGGTTAACAGGCTTTCTTATATAATCTATACAGAACCACTTCTATGTCATGCTATGTGTGTGTGTGTGATTCTTTTTATGCTATATTGGCGCACAAGTCTTTTTCGCCTTTGACATACGCTTCAGTATGTTTCAACGGTGTTGAGTCTTGTGTGTGTGTGTGTGTGTGTGTGTGTGTGTGTGTGTGTGTGTGTGTGCGTGTGTGTTGGGTGTAGTAGTGTTTGGTAGTGTATAGTGGCTGGTAGTGTGGTGGTGTTTGGTAGTATGCTAGTGTGGTAGCATGCTTTACAGTAAAATAAAGTAATAGAGTGCGTTAGTGTGTGGTAAGGGTGAGGCTGAATGCAGTAGAGTGCGGTTAGTGTGGCTCATGCAAGACTGGGGGGAGGGATGTGTTTACATAGGCTTCAACCTGAAAATGAAATGTTGATTTTTAGGGTGAGATGCGAGGGGGAAGAGAGAGAGAGAGAGAGAGAGAGAGAGAGAGAGAGAGAGAGAGAGAGAGAGAGAGAGAGAGAGAGAGAGAGAGAGAGAGAGAGAGAGAGAGAGAGAGAGAGAGCGAGAGAGAGAGAGAGAGAGAGAGAGAGAGAGAGAGAGAGAGAGAGAGAGAGAGAGAGAGAGAGAGAGAGAGAGAGAGAGAGAGAGAGAGAGAGAGAGAGAGAGAGAGAGAGAGAGAGAGAGAGAGAGAGAGAGAGAGACAGACAGACACGAGAGGTTTACTGATAGCACCTGAGAGACAAACATGTTTAGTACGAAATAAATAAAAATTAAGACGAGAAGTTAAATAATTATTCACTAAATAATGTTTATGCTTCCTCCCTTGTATAAGGAACTGGTTGGCAGAAAAGAGAGGGGGAAGAAAGGGGGAGGAAGAAGCGATGAAAGGAAGGGGGAAAGGTGAGAGGAAAGGAAAGGGAAATGAAGGGTTAAAAGGAGGAAGAGGGGGAAAGAAAGGAGGAGGAAGAGGGGAAAGGAAGGAGGAAGAAGAGGGGAAAGGAAGAGGGAAGGAGAGGGAAAAGGAAGGGGGGAAAAGGTTGGGATGTAAGCGAGGTGGTAGAAAACGCGGGCTAAACACACATTTCCCCTCAGAAAACGGGAAAACCAGGACGTATAAATAATAAACCGGAGCTGAACTACACACCAAAAAAAGGGGGAAACATTTCTAAAACATTATAAAAAACAATTGCAATGTAAATTAACCCAATTTCTTATACAAGTACCTTTAGAAATATAATAAGATAATAGATTAACAAAACATAAAACAAAAAAAAACATTCCAAGGGCACATATTGAGACATGATTTACAAACATTGTGTAAATTGAGACATGATTTACATTGTGTAAATTGGGTCCAGCGTTTAGCGGTAGAGAGCCTCGAACCTGAGTTCAAAAGTCATCATATATAATGGAGGCAATTATGGCCTGACGTCAATAGATGTTATTAAACATGTTAATTACATGACTGTGGCTTCTGTGGGAAATGTAACCTGGTCTTTGTTAGATTTACCATGATTAATGTCCACTTGAGTAATGAAAAAGTTGTTTTTTTTCGACTGCTCGTCTCGATATATATATATATATATATATATATATATATATATATATATATATATATATATATATATATATATATATATATATATATATATAGTGTTAAAAAAGTCAACCATATGCATCCACGATACAGCAGGCATTCCCTCTCTGAACTGCAATACTGAGGCGCTGGAACAGAAAATTGGCTGCTCTTGGGTTTCTTAGTTTCCCTCACTAGTTCATATCCCGCCTCCTTCAATAACTTATACCCCAGGATCTCAAGAGCCTATTGGCACCAACCTGAGACAATGCCCAATTGTTCATGTCTTTAATAGTTTAGTCTGGGTCTCTCTGAAGGTGGCAGCCTTCAGGGAGACCTGAAGAGGTGTACTTAAGTGTAAACAGATATTATATAGAAGCATGAGTGTGTTTGATATGTAGTGCCTCTGCTATGTCTAATCTCTTATTGTCAAGTGTCACGCTTTCTGACGGGGGATTATAGACAAGTGTTAAGAGCAGAGATACGGATTAAGAGTAGGTCTCACGAATGAGGATTCAAGATTATGGGTGACACGAACGCCGATACGGATTATGGGTAGGAGTCACGAACGCACCACCGAATGCTGTTATAAGAGGAATCCTCTCTCTCTCCTGCCTTGATGACGCGATATTCATTCTTGAGGTTATCTTGAGATGATTTCGGGGCTTTAGTGTCCCCGCGGCCCGGTCCTCGACCAGGCCTCCACCCCCAGGAAGCAGCCCGTGACAGCTGACTAACACCCAGGTACCTATTTTACTGCTAGGTAACAGGGGCATAGGGTGAAAGAAACTCTGCCCATTGTTTCTCGCCGGTGCCTGGGATCGAACCCAGGACCACAGGATCACAAGTCCAGTGTGCTGTCCGCTCGGCCGACCGGCTCCCTTGTTTTTCTCCTATATCTTACTTTCCATGGGGTAAGCCCTCAGTTAGACGTGCGGCAAATACCTCAGCAAGACACAACAGCAAGGCTAGAACACCCACACCCACACCCACGCACCCACACCCACACCCACAGTCCTGCGCTCGGCCCCGCTAGTGGACTGAGCGCCAGTTTCGAAAACAATGAATTTGTAAGGCCAGCCTGAGGGGGGGGGGGAAAGCGGACAAATTAATTGGCCTCGTAGCCTGCAGACGTCTGCTGTAATTAGCTGGTTAATTAAGGAAAATGACTGTCCTGGGAATGGGCAGGTCATTTCAAATATCCAGGAAAAATTGCCTTCCACCTTGCCTTATTGTTCCCATCAGTATGAGTTTGGGAGTAGGCAAGAGGGAAGGAGAGAGGGAGGGAGGGAGAAAGGAAAGAATCGAGAAGGAGGAGAAGGAAGAGCGTATGGTGTTAATCAATTAGCAGATATAGTATATAATTTAGTGATCTGGAAAGGATATTAATTAACATCTTTTCCTGGGATTGCTTGCTATCCGATCTGGACGGGTCAACTGAAAGCTGGTCACCTATCCTCCGTCCACTGTCCTGCCTCACACCCCCCCCTCACCTAGTCACTGTCTTTCTATCTACCTCCCCCCACCCTAATCTCTCAGCTCTACTCCCCACCTCTTGTCTTCCTCAATTCTTCCCTCTTCCCTCAATCTTGCCTGCCCATTCCTTCACCTTCCTCCTCTTCCTTCCTTTTCTTTCATTCCCACCACAGTTCTTCACCTTCAGAGCCTCCTCTCAGGGCCCTTACTGACTCTCAGGACCCTTATGGCACCTTAGGGCCATCCTCAGGGTCCATATCGACCCTCAGGCTCCCCCCCCCTCGCCCCTGCTCTGAGATTACAGTAATTAGAGGTCAAACTAGAGCACATTGTAGCACACTCGATCAATATCTCCCTGCAGTCTATAACTGGAAAATAGGGGAATACAGGGGGTAAAGGAGAAAGGGGTTAGAGGAGAGGAAAAGGAGTATTGGGGGACAGGAAAGGGGAAGAGGAGAGGGGGGTAGATGAGGAATATAGAGAATAGGAGAAAGAGAAGGGTAGGGTTATGGGAAGTGAATAGAGGAAGACAGGGGGTGTGGGATATTGGGGAAGGAGAGAGTAGAGTTATAGAAGGTGAAGGAGACACGAGATGGAACGGTTTAGTAAAGAGGGGAAGGAGGGAGAGAAGAAGGGAAGGAGGGAGAGAAAGAGGGAGAGAAGGGAGGGAGAGAATGAGGAAGACATCGACCATGTTTACCATCTCTGTACACAGTATTCTAACCCTTACTTGCACACAGAACAAAAAGAGAGGCACACTGTCTCGAGCTTCATTAATCAGCGTTTGCTGTAAAGACAACACCATCGTTAATGATGACTCGACAGCATGATACACCTGCTGTTGCTGCTGCTGCTGCTGCTGCTGTTGCTGGTGCTGCTGCTGCTGCTGGTGCTGGTACTGCTGCTGCTGCTGTTGCTGCTGCTGCTGCTGTTGCTGCTGCTGCTGCTGCTGCTGTTGCTGCTGCTGTTGCTGCTGCTGTTGCTGCTGCAAGCAGGAAGTGAAGCAGAGACCGGTTCAACGATCACCCAGATAACCTGGATCTTAAATCAAATGCTACAATCACACTGAAGGACTCAGTGTTGATGCTGATACGACAGGCAGCTACGAATCATCTCACAGCATGTCATACAAACATCTCTACGAAACTCAACATCCCTCACGAACTTGGGGGGGGAAATCAATTCGTGAGTGCAAAAAGTCATCTACCACCATTGTTTTTTACCAGTTCTGACCGGACCTGCCACTTGAGGAGAATCACAAAGGGGGACCTACCCTTTACATACATCATTGGCCATAGGTACGACTGGTCAGTGTTTAATAACAAGGTTTTCCACCGCCTACCTTCCCAGACTCCCAAGTCAGCATTGACAACACAAGACGGTCAGCCGCCAATTAAGCAGCCATTTCGGGACACCACTTCATCAGGGTTCAACCAACAGAGAGCTAGTTCAAGAAACGGTTGGCCGTTGTAGAGAACAGAAAGTCTGTTGGCTTCTTGAGGCCCTGACTTTCTTCCCAGCAAGCAACCCACACCAGTCGCTAGATTCGCAGGTACTTATTTATTACTAAGTCAACAGAAGCAGTAAATAGAGAGGGAAAAAGAGAAAGGGAAGTATAGAGAGAGGGGAAAGATAAAGAGAGTGAGAGTCAAAGTGGCTTTTCAAAGAACTGGAAACTACTTTCTAAAATTGAAAAAAAAGTTGAGGAAGAAACCATTGCGTTAAGAAAAATAGAGTTCGGTCAGGTCTTCAGTTTTAAACAAGACATAACAGTAATTATTCTAACGGTGGACGCGACCAACGTACAAATCCAGACCCATTAGAATGGTGGGCTGCTTTAAGACTGCACCAGCGTCCTATACAACCCTGGTCCGGATAACTGGATGGGCGTTGTATCGAGTTGGGCCAAAACTTCTGGATAATCGTGTCGGGTCAAAACTTCCGGATAATCGAGTCTAGTCAAAACTTCCGGATAATCGAGTCGGACCAAAACTTCCGGATAATCGAGTCGGACCAAAACTTCCGGATAATCGAGTCGGGCGCCAACTTCCGGATAATCGAGTCGGGCAAAAACTTTCGGATAATCGAACCTGGCCCCAACTTCCGGATAATCGAGTCGGGCCCCAGCTTCCGGATAATCGTGTCGGGCCAAAACTTCCGGATAATCGTGTCGGGCCAAAACTTCCGGATAACCGAGACGGGTCACAACTTCCGGATAACCGAGTCGGGTCACAACGTCCGGATAATCGAGTCGAGCCAAAACTTCCGGATAATCGAGTCTGGTCACAACTTCCGGATAACCGAGTCGGGTCACAACGTCCGGATAATCGAGTCCGCTTTCCGTGTTTCCGGAACATAAAACATCCTGTTAAGGACATGTCTCTCGCCGTTTCAGATAATATATCCGGTAATATATATATTTTTTAATATATAAAAGTACCAAGTATATAAAAAAAATGTGGAGTATAAGGACTGAACTTTTATTTTTTTAATTATTTTTAATGTTTTTGTGAGGTTCAATTTTTTTTAATATGTAAGATTTGTTTAAGTTTGTTTATATAAATTTTCAAGATGATCTCCTGAAGAACTCGAGCCTGGAAGCCTGCTTCTTAAAGTCAGTGACTGTGTGTGTGTCGAGTGCTGCTCTGCCACCTCGATGACACAGGTTCGAAACCCCATTAAGGGGTTAAAAAATTAAAAAAAAATTAATAACCGAAACCGAATGGTTCGAAACCCCATTAAGGGGTTTCGAACCCCATTAAGCCCATGGGATTAATGCTATGTGAGAATTCTTCCCCTTGAATTCCTGTCAAGAGTTCCCCTTAATCTTTAAAGGGGCTTCTCTAAAGTCTTTTAAGGGGTAAACCTAATCTCTCGTCTCTCCAACCACTTGGGCTGGACGGTAGAGCGACGGTCTCGCTTCGTGCAGGTCGGCGTTCAATCCCCGAACGTCCACAAGTGGTTGGGCACCATTCCTTTCCCCCCGTCCCATCCAAAATCCTTATCCTGACCTCTTCCCAGTGCTATATAGTAGTAATGGCTTGGTGCTTTTCCCCTGATAGTTCCCTCCCCTCTCAGGGGCTTCCTTAGTCTTCAATTCACCTGGGCTCTAGGAGACTCGAACCGTGGACACCACGTGTGAGAGGTCGAAGCTCTATCGACCGAGCTATTGAGTAGTCTTAATAGGGAATGTTTTATCTTAATCTCTTTCGCCCAGAGAGGGATCGCGCCCTTTGGGAAAGACCTGGAGACCGACAAACCAAAGCAGCAAACAAGGAAAACAAACAAAATACAAAAATTACAAACATTAGACAAACACAACACTCAAAGCATTACAAAAAACAAAATACTGTACACCTACAAGAGAATTTAAAGAAAAAATAATCAACAGTAAACAAAACAAAAAAACTGCATGTTGTAAGTTGTGAAACTTAAGCAAA